AATCCCTTGAATTTGTGATAGATTAAGGAAAAATGATTCAACTACAGTTATGAAATGGGATGCCTTATGGAGCAATAGATTTTAGAGGTTATTCATTATATATGGATGCTTTATTTTGGGTTTTCTAGAAGATTTCAAATATATACTTTATATAGATGAATGTCATCTAAATGGTCTATACAAGGGAACAATGCTTTTAGCATTTACATATGACATAGTTAGTGAACTAACATCAACTCTAAAGTTGCTGAATCATTTCATGCTTGGATTGTTATGAGAAAAATGCAATGTTGATGTTTTAATAAATAAGTATAGAAAGAAATTGGCAAAGAAGATTTTTGATAGCAAAATGGCTATTATGAATTAAAACGATAGGGTAGGATCTAATGTGAAGGAGGTTTTAGATGTGAAGTAGGTCAAAGACATTGATTCCCTAATTATAAAGTTGTCAAGAGATAAAGCAACTAAGGGTGAGAAGTTTTTGATAGGTTTCCTTAGTGATAGGCGAGAGGTGTGAGATGAGAAAGAAAGGTCAATAACGGGTGTGGGTATTTATGGCTTCACATGGGCAATTATATTATGGATCCAGATTGTTTTCAAATTAAGGTCATTTTGGTCAATTGCTAGAATACCCAAATTACTCCTAAGGACCTAAAAACTATAAAATATTTTCACTATTTGGTGGAACTTGGTTGTATTTACATTTTCTCTATGGGACCTTGGTGTGATTTTCCCTATTTTGTATAGTATTATGTTTTAAACCTAGATATTTAATTTCTTTTGAAATATTTTCTTTTGTCTCTTTTAATTGATTGAAGCAATTCACTTTATATCATTTTCTATTTACAGATCTTACTAGATCTTGTAGTTTCTCTGTGTAGTAGCATCAAAGACATAGAACACAAACAACACGCTGCCGTACAGTAATGTTTGAACTTTTATGTGGAAGTGTACTTGTCGCATCTCTTTAAATTGACTTGTAAATTGTGTTATTGAGCATTCAGGCATAGTTTTTGGGAAAAATCTCATCAAATTAATATTTAGCTCATGTGGGGTGGAGATGATGTTGTATAAGAATTAATTCACGATTCCTGATAAATATGAGTATTGTGATTTTTAATTAGTAGATTATTTTTTATTGAATTATTATCTTTGTATCATTAATTATGGAAATCATCAAGAACAATTGCAAATTATATGAGCTAGTAAGGTCTTGAAAAAGTAATCGATACACACTGCATACATGATTGTGTTTCATTTCACAAAAAGAAATGAGTGTTAGCTTTGAGTAAATAATAATATTGAACATTAAACAAGCTAAGTGTGAAAAAGTGTCTCATGATTTCACTCTCAATTGATTAGAAATCAAACAATATATAAATTACTTAAACTGGAAAAAAGTTGTGAGCAAAGGTATATCTAATTGTAATGTTTTTGACAATTGTGAACCTTATCATCAATTAATTAAACAATCTTGTTGAATCACGCACATCTATTTCCTTTCCCTTATTAGATAGATATCACATTGTTCATTGTTGACAAAGTAAACTTAGTTGAACCACATTTAAAGACAATCAATAAACTTTATCATCATATCGATCAACTCCTTATTAATTCATTACTAGTCATGTCTGATCAACTCCTTTTTCCCTAATGTTGTGTTTAGATTTGGATTTAAGCTAAATCCTTTGTTTAGGCATTTAAAAATATGTGGATTTGGATTTAGCCCAGACCTAAATCCTATCCTAGTTCCTTTGAAATCTAAAATACTCTATAAAACCTTATTATTTCAAATCTTAGCCTTCTCATCTCTCATGTCACAATCGCTGCCTCTGTCCTCGTCAGTTGTATCTCGCATTGTCATTCCCTATTGCTACTCTATTCTCTTCTATCTCACTTAAGTGTCATTCTCGTCTCTCTAACTCAAGTAAGTCTAATCTTCTGCTTCCCTTATCTCTTAAAGCTTCTTTGCATTTCATCTACACTTACATAATCACTATCCTCCTTGATCTCTTCTTCTAGGTTCTATGTTTTATTAGAAGTTTATGATGTCATCATTCTTATTTGAAGTTTTAATAATTAATGATCATTTAGATTTTGTGTATCTTTATCACACGCACCAATAAATTTAAAAACTAAGAAAACTACTTCTAATCCTATTCACATGAAATACATAGAAAGGAATTTAAGAGTAAATCTTTCAAAGAAAGATACATATTGGTGCTTTTATTAGTGTTGTGGGTTTTGCTTGTCATTCTTAATTGAGTACATAATTTTTCTAGTGTAACCTAACTTAATTATGACGTCATGAAATGCTAAAATTTATTCATCTTGTGTTGTTTTGCTTCTAATGATGTTTGCTTTTGAAGTAAAACACAATTTTTTTAATGCATCGAAGATGTGAAGCATAATACAATGAGAAACTTTTCAAAAAAGAGGACATAATTCCATCGCTTATACACCAAGGTTGTCATGTTAAAATTAAGGTCACTTTTACGTGTCAAAATTATAAGTAATGTTTTATCTGATTAATTTTAATTAATTTTATGATCCATCTAGATTTTCCTCATGAAGAAGCTCAACTTGATTCTTGGGCAGAGATGACAAGTTAGTTATGAGTATAAGGTAGTAGAAACAAATGATAATTCTAAGGGGACTCTCCTTAAAAGTGTTAAGAATAGCTAAAAGGTTTGATGCTTGAAGTACTTTTTCTTAGGGAGTGAAAATTTGCCCATAAATCATAATAGCATTTAGGGTTAGATACTATTTGTTTTCTTCAGTTAGGCAAGACTTGACCTCAACTTGTGCTGTAGCATTAGTTACTAGTTTTAATCCTAATTTTATCTCTAAATTACGGCGGTTTATAGATCGATTTAATGCTCATTGCTTGTAGTAACAACTCTAAAATCTTGTTATATTCTAGTTAGTGTTTTATTCTGCATTTTAAACTATATATCAGCCAGTAGTTTCCTAATCATTGTTCCTGATCCTGGATTTTCTTATCATTATTTTAGCATGTCCTAGTCATTGACACTCTTTTTTTACAAGAAGCCAATGCATACTAGATATGATTCTTATTGTTAAGTGCCTTCTTTTAATGACTTGTAACTCTTAAGTTCAATATGCCATGTGAAGAACTATTTATAAACTTTTTTTAATTCGTTATACTTCTTCTACTCTTTATATTGACTTATGGTGGTCTTAATAGAAGATGTTGTCAAATGAAATGATTATGTTGAGGTATGTAGAGTTCTAACAGTATGAAATTTATTTTAAAATTTGGGGTATGTAAAGTTTTAATTGCTATTAATGTTTCATTTAATAAATTTTATTTTTTCTAGACTTTTCTTGAAGCAAGTGGCTATCAAAATAGAACAATAAAGAATTGGTATGACATTGTCATATTATGTGGGAGTGATAGAGCCACTAGTAAAGGTGCTGCAAATTTTCAAGATGTTAATGAGGAAATGGATCAAAAAGGAAATGAAGTGCAATCTAATATTAATTTAAAAGATCAAGATACTTCAAGGTTAAATCCACAAAGTTCTGGAAGAGTTAAAAGGGTTAGAAAAGATCCTTAAGCCAACATAGTAATGGAGGTAGTTAACTCATTCAAAGAATATTTGCAAAGTAAAAAAAAGCTTAGTAGAGAAGAAGTCCATGCTGTGGCTCCCAAATTCAAGGACTTCAAAAGGTAGAAATGTTTCAAGCTATTAGAAAGCTAATAAAGGGTGATCCGAAAGAGTTTAATTTACTCAAGTCCTTTACCCATGATGAGAAAAAAGAGTGGATTTGATTTCTTCTAGAAAATTAATAGTATTCAATATTTTGCTAGTTGTTAAAATATTCTCATTTTTCACCTTATTTGACATTGATACTACAACATATAGAGATACTTTAGCTTTGCAAATGTGGAATGAATATCAAATTGATAGAGCAATATAAGTTTTTCTTCTTGTATTGGAACCTACTTGTAGTAAAAGGTTTCATTGTATTTTCTATATTAATGCTTTTTGATTGTATTGGAATTGAAATTCATTGCAAGCCATTTTGAATCTGTAGTAAAAACATATAAACTCATGTTATCTTGATTTGCCTCTTTGATAGTTTCTTCTAAGTGGAAATCTTTTATGCCAAATTCTTGGCAATAGGGGTGTAAACGGGCGGGTACGGTCTACCCGTGACTGTACCTGTTACCCGCCCGTTTATGGGTAAATGGGTGGCCACCCGCCCGTACCCTCTTATACCCGTTTGTACCTATTTTTAAATGGGTGGAAACGGGTCTAGGCGGGTCTAGGCGGATCTGGGTCACCCGTTTACCCACAACACCCATTTTCTTAAAAAAAAAGAATCAAAACATATAATTTTCATTCCACTAAAACTTAACATAAGTGCTCAAGTAGCATCATTCTAAAAGTTTAAATCTCTGAATAATATAAGAATAAATATTTTAACAACAAATACTACCTAAATAAGGATCAATAATTCTAATTTTTAAAGTGAAAACCCAGTCTCATCAATCCTCATTTATCTTCTTTAGAGTCACTTGATACAGCAGAAGATTGAGCTATTGACTTTTCCTCTACAAGACAAATTAAAATAATTAGATTAGTAAATAATAATATATATTATATAATATGGAGAATTAAAATAAATATAATTAAAATAACTTATTCATATTATTATTACCATCAACAGCACGTAAAGTCTCATCAAAATAGTCAATATTAATCTCTTCTAATAGGGTGCATGATGTTGATGATAGCCAATTCTATGTGCAAATGAGTGCCTCAGCCATTTTTGAAGATAAGGAACTCCTGAAAGTATCTAGTACTCGACCCCCAGTACTAAAAGCAGATTCCAAACACTGTGGAGACAGGCATAGCTAACAAATCACGTGCAATCAAACTTAGAACTTTATACTTGGAAGAATTCACATTCCACCATGCCAAAATATCAAAACTATCATCACAAGCATCAACTAACTCTGCATTTAGGTACTATTCCACCTCTGAAATTGGTTTCTTTGGACGCTTACTCATTGCAGTGGCTAAAAAATCTTGTATTGCCACATCAATAATTTTTTTAGAAGATAGAGGAACTTGCTTCCCTCCACCACTAGCACTACTCTCCCCCATCTCTATACCAGTTTCAGATGGTTCACTACCACTGGCTGTAAGAGTTGTAGAGTACTCATCAAACAAGCGATGCAAAAACCCCATATTCTTCTTTTTCATCATTTCCCTGTTCATGTAATCACCAATAAAATGTTTAAAAGCAACTTCAACATAAAAAAATTTGTATCTAGGATCAAGAATCACAGCTATTACTAATAATGGATTCATGTTTTCTGCCTTTCTCCAGTACTTGTCATACTTACTTTGCATCCTTTCTGCCATGTCACTCAATAAAGAATTAGATTCAACTGCAATTGAATCTAATTGCGTTTTGATTGCAACTATATTTTGAAAGCATGTGTTTGATGTGACATAATTTGATCCAGAAAATTGAAGAGTCATAGTATAGAACAACTCCAAAAAGGTAAGAAATTCCTTTGCCACACTCCAATCATAAGCATTAGGAGGTTTAACTGTACCTTCATCACCATCATGATCACCAAGCTCATCTTCATCCTCCTCTTCCATCCTATCAACAAAGCTTGAGCTAGAAGACAGTTTAACTTTCCTTTTGAAGTAGTTCTTATAATCTTGATCTTCATCCTCCATTCTATCAAAGACCTTAGTGAACTTAATGGCATTCTGCAACATGATATATGTTGAATTCCACCTATTACGACAAGAAAAAGATTTAAATGTTAGGAAAAATTACATATCATAATGCAAACAATCATAATTTAATAATAATATAAATTACCTAGTGGGACAATCCATGGTAAGAAGATTCTTTGAATCAATTCTCAATTTTTCAACAAGCTCCTTGAATTTTTTAAGCCTACTAGGAGAAGATCTAACAAACTTGATTGCATGCCGAATAAGTTTAATAGATTGATTCATATCTTTAAGGCCTTCTGAAACAATTAAATTCAAAATATGAGCAGCACACCGCATCTACAAGAATTCTCCATCACAAACTAGACCTCCCAAATCCTTTAAACGCTTCTTTAAAAATACAATGGCAGAATCATTAGAAGAAGTATTATCAACTGTAATTGCAAATACTTTCTCAATACCCCAATAGAATAAGCATCCCTCAATTTCATTGCCAATGGTGTCCCCTTTATGATTTTCTACCACACAAAAATTCAAAATTCATTTCTGTAATGTCCATTCTTCATCAATCCAATGAGCTATCAAACACATGTAGTTGAAATTTTGAATTGAAGTCCAACAATATGTGGTGAGTGACACACGAACTTTAGATTTCTTAAAATACCTCTTCAAATATCTTGCTTCTTCTAGATATATCTTGTAGCATAACTTAGCCATAGTAGTGCGAGAAGGGCATGTAAATCTTGGTTCAAGCACTTCCAACATTTTTTTAAAACCATGCCCTTCCACAACTCGAAATGGCATCTCATCCAAAATGATGAATTCAGCAACTGCTTTTTTGCATCATTCTGCATTATACGGTTGATGAGTCATTGATTTACTAAAAGAAACAAAGAATAAGGACTATCCTGCCTTGGCTTTGTTTGGATTCTTTGGGCAAGAATCAAAATGTCGCCAAAGGTTCTTAGTCCCAGTTTTAAAAGAATAGCCTACAAAATCCTTTCCACAATAGTTGCATTTAGCTTGATGCTTACCTTTTTTATTTATAAATTTTTCATAATGATTCCACATTTCAGATGTTGCACTTCTTTTTCGTTTAGGAGGTGGAGCATCTTCAGCTTGGGAAGCTCTAGGTTCAGTAGGTGCTGCTGGGATGGTGGTGGTATTGGGAGCTTTAGATTCATGTGCCCCTTCCATAGCTTGCACATTTTCCATAGTAACTTTAAAAGTAAAAACTATACAGCAACCAAATCAAATCAATCACAACACATTTGGTACTAGGTACATCATATTAACCAAAATATCAACAAAATTATAAGATAAGTTATACAATAATACATTCAAAATGGCCACAAACATCATATCGTAGTCAGTGCTTCATGTCCTTAATCATGGCAAGACCATATCAGTTCATGCTAGAAAAGCCATGCACCAGACGAATCAACACATAAGTAAATAAGTAAAAAAATTATGATTCATAGAAGCAATGGTTTCTGAACATTGATACAACATTTAGACGGCATTAACTTGCTATTGATTGCATCAAACATTGATACCACATTCAAATATGAAGAATTTTATTTTTCTTTCTATTTTTCTATTCAGCAAGTCAAAACCACAGAAAAGAAGCAATTATCAACAGAGGAGCCTGGAGGTCGAACCTGGAGCTGGAGTGTGCTGCTGCGTTTATGTGCGTGCGTCTGCTAGCAGAGTAGAGCTGAGGTCGATGCTGGAGGTGGAAGCCTATAGCGCGCATCTGCATGCGTGCGTGTGCTAGCTAAAGCCGCGATGAAGAAGGACTTGAATGTTACGTCTGCTAGCTGGAGGCTTGAAGCTGGAGGAAGGACGAGAGTCTTACACAAGCCGCGATGAAGATCAGGCGAACAATGGAGAAATTAGCCAGGCGAACTTGCAAAGTGGTGGACGCCAGACGAAATGACAGGGCAGATGAAGATGACGCCAGACAGAACACCGATAATAGCTGAAGCAGTCTCAAATCTCACGGGTGAAGACGAAGATGATCTTACTGCATCACATTGGTTACGGTACGGGTAAACGAATGATGAGGCAAGGCCGCGAGGGTTTTGATTTCTGGAGCAGTGGAGCTTAAGACTAGATTGATTTGGAGTTTTGGACAACTGGACGAGGTCACGAGGTGTGGGTTCTGATCTGACTCTAAAGCTTAGACTGGATCACTGTGGACAATAGCAGTTGCCCTAGCAGACCATTGGACTGAAGTTTGCCAAAAAAAATATAATATATATACGGGTGGGTATGGGCTACCCGAGGGTTAACCCGTTACCTGCCCGTTTATACTTATACGGGTATTACCCGCCCATACCCGTTTTCCTTCCCTCACTAAACGGGTATGGGTTGACCCATTTATAAACGGGTAGAGCGGGTTGACAAGTTTTTGGGTATATTGCACACCCCTACTTGGCAAGCTTGTATTTCCATCACAAGTTTTATAGACAGACATTGTTAAATGGCCATCTTGATATTGGCAAGCTTGTATGTCCTCTACTTTCATTTGTTTGAGCCTTGTGGCTTAAGATTTTCATTTATTCTAGGATTTCATGTGTTTGTGGCTCATAAAGTTGGATTATAAGTATAAAGAAAAACCAAAGTGAATTTTATTTTGGTGTTTGAAGATTTGGTAATATTCTTAATATTTTGCTTTATTTGGTAGTGAGAATATTTAGTTTTGGTGTTTCAGAATTTAACAATGTTCTTAATTTTTTTTATTGTTGAATGACAAATCAATTCTATAATTCATCGTTTTAAATTAAATTTTTAGTTTGTTTCTATTGATCAATTTTTCTAAAAAATGATTAGGAGGTTGAAGGGTAAAAATTTTGGTTGATAATTTAAATGCAAAATAATAAAAATTTTAAATAAAATTTGATTGTGGTTATTTAAAAATTCTTTGCACAATCCAAACAAAGAATTTTAATATTAGAATTTAAAATTTTTTAACTACTCAAATAAAAGATTTGAAACACATGAATTTGAAATTTAAGATTTGAAATGGATATTTTAAATCTAAATATACCAATCCAAACACCACCTAAAACTATTTTATTTCCAGCCCTGAATCTTAAACTTTTTTTTAATTATCTTCTATCAGCAGTGCATTTCAACCCGGTATTATTAACCCGACGTGCGGTCAGAGTTAGACTAGGTAATGAGGCAAGTTACGTACAGTGCACATAATACTAAAAGACGCGTGTGTTCACTTTTAATTTCTTCTGCTATACTATATATAGAAGATCAGCGATTATTTCAATCATCTCGCTTCTCCTTCACAAACGTCAATTGTTTTAAGGAGAAATATTTCAAATAATATCTCGTAATCATGTAATAGGTCCGCGCATGTGCGTCTAATGATAATCACTCACGCTACCGTATATGACTTCGAGTTAAAATTATTATACATGGTCAAAAAAGCTCAATAACTACTCCATCGATAATTATCAACCTTAAATATAACACGTGACATAATGAGGGATCATGCATATAAGGTAATGTCCCAGTCCTGATCTCTCTCTATCGTTGTATATCAACATGCTATGGTTAGAAATCCCCAAAAGCACATATAACATTTTAGAGGAGGAGGAGATACGAGTAAGATTAATAGAAGGATGTTACATCTTAATTTAAAAACCTAGCTGATTGATTTAGTCACGAAAACACATGTTCTTGGCTTCTCGAAGATCCCCTGTCAGCAGGATCCATCTCACATCAATATTCCTCAACTACAAATCTTTATTTCGATGGAGTGATCTTTGTGCACGGCGTTCAAGTTTCGTTGAGAAATTAATCGATGGATGTTGAAGACATCAGCGATGACTCAAAATAATCAAATTCAATAGTCAGCCAACCGTCCCTGTTACGTTACGTTGTATCTACCATTGCTGTGTTATGTGCATGTGTGTGTTGGATTGGATGGGTGGGTGTTATATTTATAGCCTCAGAGTTGAGATCTCAAGTTCATCACATAATAATTTCAAAACGTGGCCACTGCCTTTCATATTGTTAGGAATAATAAATACCACACAGCTGACCCCTCATGTGCCTCTTTTTGCATATTTAATTTGTGAACGATGCGAATACACGATGTATACGTACAATTATCTAATTGAAACAACATGCGTAAGATGTGACTCAATTTAAAATCAATGTAATGGATCGAAGATCGATCATTCAGCCATGTGAGGAAATCATATACATTGACCATATTTATACGTTAATCAAAGAAATCGACACAATTATTATTTTTTAATAAATTAATAAATTCAATAATATTTTGGGAAAATGACAAAAAAATTCCTTCGAAATATATAAATGATAATTTGGTCTCTCAAAATACCATAATTTTTCAGAAATTCCTAAAAACTTTTCTGTCATTAATAAATTTATTTAAATTGCCAAATTGTCCTTGTTGAAAATAAATGACTCACAAGTTTTGTTTAAATATTCAAAATTTTTTTTATATTCACAACAATACAATAACAAATTACAACTTTGCATGTTAAATTCTTAATTTGTTATTGCATTGTTGCCAATATAAAGAAAAAAGTTGTGAATATTAAAACAAAACTTGTGAATTATTTATTTTTAATAAGGGTAATTTGATAAATTATGTAAATTTATTAATGACAGAAAAGCTCCTAGAGACTTCTGAAAAATTATAATATTTTGAGAGATTAAATTATCATTTATATATTTTAAAAAAAATTTTATCATTTTTTCTAATATTATTTCCAGCCTAAATTATGAGACAAATTTAGGGTTGTTTTGTTGTCATAGAATATAAAAAAACTTGAAAAAAATAATACTTTATTAATGGTTCTTTTTTGATACTACCTTTTAAGGGACAAAGAAATTACAATAATTATAATGTAATAATATTCAAGTAACAGATTTAAAGTTTTATTAAATTAAGGGGGGTTTTTTTTTTTTTTGCCTCAAACATGATTACATCTCATAACGGAATATAGGTCAGCAAAAAAAAAAAAAGGATGATACCAATAATCATGACAAAAACTTAATAATTTTGGAGTTGAAGTGATTTTGCCAGCCGGGATTGGGAAGAATATTCTTTTCTTCTCGAGTGGCCCAATCTTGGACAGCAAATCTTGAACAGCGCCTACCACTGATATTTCTTATTGAGAGGGGTCAGACTTGAACGTCATAATAGGCCTTTGTTTAACATATAGTGTGCCATATATTTAAAGTTGTTCACCTCACGAATTTAAATAAACTTATAATAAAAATAAAAATTTATATCATAAATTTAAATTATAAATTTATAAGAGTTTATCTTTATTAATAAATAATTATTAAAATATTATTATAATTTAATTAAATATATTAAAATATAAATTATTGAAATTAAATCCATATACATTAATAAATTATCATATACAAGATATAAAAATTTTAAAATAGGGAAACTTATTTTTAGTATTTTTATTTTCTTTTGTATTAATATTAGTTTTTGCATTTAAATTTTTTTAATTAGGTCTTATAACTTTTATGAATTAAATTCTTTATAGTTTATAATTAACTCGATCAACTCAAAAAAAAATTGATGAATTTAACAAATTTAACCAAGCTTGCATCTAGTCTGAGTTTATGAATTAGTTGACACAATTTTATAAGTTAAAAATATAAAAATGATAAACTCAAGGTAAACTAGTAAGTTTAATTGAATTTGTATCTAGTCTAAATTTATAGGTGAATTGATACGATTTTGTAAACTGAAGATGTGTAACATCCTGATTTTTATATAATAAAGAACTTGTGAAATTTAGGTTTTAAAAAATGATAATAATAGGAATTTATATTATTTGAGGTTATTTAAAAATAATATTATGATTAGGTATTTAATTATGAATTTAAAAATTTAAATTTAAAACCACATAAGCAATATTTAGTTAAGATATAATACATAAATAATTTTTTTTATGTGTGTGTTAAAAAAAAGAGAAGGTAGAAGGAACAAAAAAAAGGGGGGTGGAAGGTTGTTGTTTCTAAGTCCCACATTGATTAGATGAGGGAAAAGAAGAGGTGCCTTCATGTATAAAAAGGAGGGGGTGTGTGCATTAGAAAGCATGAGAGGCTAAGATGCAATTTAGAGAAAATTATAACTTTTGGCCCAAAGGTTTGAATAATTAAATTCAAACCTATAGTTTTTTTTAATATAATTTTGGGACTCACAATCTCATTTTTATATTATTTTTCTCTCTTCCTCTCACGTTGCTCGGCGTTTTCTCGCAAGGGGGGATTATTTTCTTTTTCTTCAGGTATGTTCTAACTTTCCTGTTTAGATTAGCATTTAAAAATTTATTTAATTACAAAATTAATTTTATAGTTATTTTCTAAATAATATTAGCTTTCTAGTGATATGATTATTTTGTAGGATAGAGTAAATATTTTGATTAAGATTTTTCTATAGGATAGTTAATCTGATGATATGATGAATTAAAAATATAGGTTAAAACTCTTAGGGATATAATAAATATTATATAATATTTTTTTGAGGTTGAAACTCATGTTTAAGAATTTTTGAGTTAAAATCTAGATCTATATGGTTAAATTTATGTGGAATCTGAGATGTAAGGATAAACCTATGATTATTAAATATTTATTTAAGTATGAATAGGTATTTTTGAGGTTATAGAAAAGTGATTTGAGACTTCAGGATAATTTTAAAATTTAATTTATTTTTGGACGAATTTTTAGAATATAGAAGGATGAAATTGTGATACTAGAAGTGATTTGAGGATAAAAAAAATAGTTTATTAGGGTACGAGAATTTTAGAAAAGAATTTAAAAAATTAAATGAGGCATAAATCTTAAATTAGTGTTAATATGGATTATAGATCTAAGACTTTCTAACTCTTTAAATTAGAGTTATGTATTTTAATGTAAAATTAATACATAGTATTATGAAATAACTATGTAGATTGTGTTGACAAAGATAGTGGTAAAAGAGGAGTTGTGAAGGGGAACTTGTTATTCAAGACACAAGGTAACCATTATTAATGTGTTGTGATGGGTGTGTTTGTGAATGGTTATGTGTTGTTTTATTGTTTGAAAAAATTATGAATTATTAAAAATAAATACTGCATATACTTGTTTGAAATTATTGCCAAGTGGGTTAAAAATTTATTTTTGTTTATCATGATGAGATATTATTGTTCGGATATATTCCTATTTGGATATTTGAATGATGCATGACTTGTCAGTGTATTTTAATGTATGGTGTCAATGGGAATTTTTGTTCGGTTAATTATTACCACGTGGTAAGCCCTCATTGGACCCAATGAGTGGCGTGTCGCTTGGTCCAACTCACCTTTGGCCGGGTGATTTGGCGTCCGAGCGTGGTGAAAGGAGGATATAAGGTGCAGTCATGAAATTAAATACTTGTTCGGTTTGTTTGAAAATATTGTTCGGTTAAATGTTTTGTGTGCCCACTTAGCAATCGCATGATTAGTTACATCCGCATGCATCATTACATATTAATTTTTGGTTATTGGGACTTTTAAGTCTCATTCCCCGTGGTTAATATTTTTACAGGATCGAGTCCGGCCGAGAAAGCACCAGAGGTGTAACTATGGTGTATGAAACACCATCTTTTACGTTGCCTCTTATTTTGGATTATACAATGTATCTTGTGCCAACTTAGGACATATCTTCTTTGTGAAGCATGTAAACTCTAATCCTTTTTATTAAAAGTATTTATATAACCAAGAGGATTATGTCTGTCCCTCTTGATTTATGATCTGATTTGAATATCATGCCATGAGGATTATGTCTGTCCCTCATGGTTCTAATTGCCTTTTTGGATATTTTAAGACTTGCGTTATGTCTTGGATGTATCATGGTAAGAAAATTTTCTACCATGATAATGGTTTTAATAATTTACGAAAAATTGGTCTGTAAGTTTTGAGGGTGTTACAAGATGCAAACACATTAGACTCGTAATCAACTCAAAAGTTTGACAACTATACATATACCACTTCTTTTACTCATTTAAATATTATTATCATCCAATTTTGTTTAACTTTTTATTGTACATATTTGACCTTTTATATGGAAAAAAAAAAACATATACGTCATATACATCAGCTTCTCGGGTACATGGGACTATTCTTAGATTTTACATTCCGACCAAGAATAAGATTAGTAGTTCGAAGTCTAATACACAATATTCAGGGTCAAAAAAATAAAAAAAAAATAGTAAGAGGCAACAACGAGATACAGTCCTTTAAAATTTTAAGATATTTTAAACTAATTTACGCTCTAAAAATGGTACAAATATCTTTTTATAATAGCGTATCCCAATTATTAATAACACAATGCAGCTTCTTAATATCTAATGCTCTTCGAGGGCAGTTTTTTTTTTTTTTTATAAGTTCATCAAGTACTCTTCAAACATCTAAAATCAGCTTATTTTTAATTAATAGTCTTACTTTACTAAAACCGTCTTATAATTTCAAAGTGAGGAATACCAAGGGCTTGTTTGATTTTGTTCTTATATATTTTTTATTTTTAAAAAATTATTTTGCAAATTAATTTTAAAAAATTATTCTTCAAAACAAAACAAAACAAAAATTTATTTGATTATATTAATTTAAAAATAAATTTAGAATTAAAAAATTTCTTGATATTAATGCCATCGGCGGTTAACGATGATAGTTTATGATAGTAATTGATGAAAACAACTACTTATAATTTTCAATTATTAAAGGTGTGTTTTGAAAATAAGAAAATAAAATGAAAATAATTTCAAGATATTTTATTTTAAAAAATAAAAAGACAAAAATAATTTTAAAAATAATTAAATTCGAAACTTACTGAATGAGAATTTTAATTTTATTATTCACAAGGTCATGAAACTTCATTTCCGATAGTGAACCCTCTGTCCCTTCCCAAGTTGGGCGGCTCTTCAGAGGCAGAAAGCATAAATTGGGAATCGTACGTTGCAGCACGTCATCGTGTATGAAATCGTGAATATCCTTATCTTCTTCCTTAAATTAATACTATTTTGCACGAGACTTATTGATCAGCACATAATCTTTTTTGAAACCCATTTAAATGTAACGAGTAATTAATAATTACAACTGCCGTTAAGAAAGTAGAAACCATCTGATGACAAAGTAACCAGCTAATAGCATTACATGGTTACCTGCATTAATAAATCCACTTGACTCCAGATATGAGCAATATAACCACAAATTTCACCCATGAAATGTCTCAACACGTTTACAACAAAACATATAAACAAACAGAAAATAAGCATTAACAAAGTATGTATTAAACTAAACTGCACCACATCAACTTAATTGTAAGGAATCTGTGGATTTGATGTGCCGACCGTTCTTCCTCATGATAATGTATTAAATTATATTGGGCCGTCGCGTTTACAATAAATATATATGGATAATTATTCTCTCATTTTGTCGTTAGTTAATTTTAAATTTCTACAAACAATTATTTCACGTGGCCCGCTTTTAGTCAATTATAGACTTGAAAAGTATAAATATGATTTTAAATTTCAAAGTGAACTGAGTTTATTAATTTTGATATAAAAGGGTTCCGCGGTTCACATTGGCTGCTTTGGCACCATATTTGAATTGTTCAAAAGCTATTTCGACAATACAAACTCAAAAATTTTAATTTATAATTTTTAAATAATAAATTTATGTTTTTCAACCCAGATTATTCAAGCACAATATGATGCAAAATGATCGTTCCTATTGATAGAAGAGGTGATTCATGTGTCGATCTTAAACAATAGATGAGTTAAGGTTCGAAACGGAAAAAAAAATTGAGAATGATAATTTTATTTTTTAATCAATAAGAATCAAGATGAAAAAAAAAAGTACAAGAGTCATATAGATATTCATAATAAAAATATGAAGAGAACAAAAAAATTGAAGTGATTGAAATTTTGAATGATTGGAATAAAAGAAGAATTTAAAATTGTAAAGGAGTTATAAAAAATAAATTTGGATTTGAATTCAAATTCATAAATTTTTCTGTGTATCCAAAATGATGATATTTGGACCAAATCTAAAGCTAAATTCCAACTACTTCAGACATACTATTAGGTTGCATTTGGATAGATAGATTTAAGTTAAGAATTTAAATTTAAAATTTTATATTTTAAATCTCACATTTAAAATTCATAAATTCTAAATTCTTTATCTAGATGATATAAAAAAATTTAAATTATAATATTAAAATCCTTTATTTGGATCTAAAATAAAATTTTAAATTCTATATTTGAATTTAAAATAAACATGGAAGATTGTTCAAAGTCAACGCTCTAAGTAGCCAACTTTCATTGAGATCAAACGATCAAAGCCAACTAAGACTGTAGCACTGGTGACGACCAAGATGGGATGATCGACTTCCACCAAGACTAGACCGATGCAATGATAGGAATCAGATGGCCGACTTCCTCTAAGACCAGACTGATGGTGACCACCTAGATCAGACAGCTGCCTTCCATTGGGACCAGATGCCCGGCTTCTATCGAGACTAAATCTATGACAATGACAAGAACCAAATAGCTAACTTCCACTTGGACCAAACTGACGGTGATATGGGGACCAAACGGTCAACTTCCGTCATGATCAGACCAAATGGCTAACTTCTGCAATGATTGTTAGGCTGACTTCCACTGAGATCAAATTGATGACAACCACGGGGACACATCCATCAAGATAGGACTAATGACGACCATTGGAACTAAATGACTAACTTTCACAAGGATTCAAACCAACGACGATGATTGAGATCAAACGACCGACTTTCACTAAGCCCAATCTCGATGAAAGTAAGTCATTTGATTTTAGTAAAAGTCAGTGGTCACCAATGGTTTGGTCCTAATGGTCATTGTCAGTTCAGTCCTGGTGGTCGCCATTATTAGGGTCTCGATGGAAGTCGGTCATTCAAACTGTCAATTTTGACCAGTCTTCTTAGTTTCTTCAAAATTTAAATATAAAATATGAAATTTGAAAATTTGCTCCAAACAAAAAATTTAAAATGTATGAAGTTTAATTGTGAGATTTCAAATATAAAATAGAATTCTGGTCCAAATCATTGTCAAATTGGTTGGTTCCCTTAAAACCTGATGCAACTAGCATGGAAGTAGCAGGGGCTTCGTCGTTGTCACCACCATGCAATTCTAACCCAATGGAGCTGCGTTTTAAGTTCTGGTGAATCTGGATATTCCCACTGCGAATACCAGCTCGCAAAAATGGCATATTGCTCGAAGCACCAATCGATGAAAGCATCTGATCCTTGCTCGTAATAGCAACTCTATCTCTTAAACTAAAATTCTCCAGATCACTTTTATCAGATTCCGTAAAATCGTTGAAAATAGTAATCGTGCTACACACACTTGGGGTACCCAAGACCGAGTTCGCGCTACAATAGTTGTCGAAATCGGAGTCTCCACATGATGAATAGCGTGAAGATGGAGAAGAAACATCCCCATTATCGAATGGCAAAACCTGCAGGGCAGGAAGCGAATCGAAACGATCGAGAGAGACGGCTTCGCAGGCGGCCTGGCAAGAGCCGTCCCCATGATGTATCATTTGAAGCTCAATAAATCCTAAAAATCGAAGCTTTTAGAATAATGAATCAAAAGGAAAGAGGAACCAAATCAAGGATATAGCCCTGATTCGGTTTAATCAAAGTATCCAGGAAACGGACACGGAGCACCTTACCTGTTGGCGCTGCAGAATCAGAACTCAGGTGATCGGGATTTCTATTGCGACGAATTCCAATTTCTGAGTCACAAACACTGAAAGCCTTCAAAAATTTCATTCTAAAAGAAAGCAGAGAGGCGGGAGCTACCTTGGTTTTTTGCGCTGGGAAAAAAAAATTAAAATTCCGAATCCAAAGAGCGTCAATCAACTGTACCATACATGGGCGAACAGAGTTGGCAAGCTCAGGGTCACAGAAAGATGGGACTTTTTTTAATGGTTGTGATTACCTGGCCACAGCCGCTCACGTATTTGGATTACAAAGAACGAGAACTTGACATCGCACTAGCCCTATTTGTCTCTTTTACCAAGATGGCCGGGTAATTGTTAATTGAGACCAAACAGCCAACTTCCACAGAGCTCAATCTTGATGGAAGTCAGTCGTTTGATTTTAGTGAAAGTTAGTCATCACCAATGGTTTGGTCCTAATGGTCATTGTTGGTCCAATCTTGGTGGTCACCGTCGGTAGGGTCTCGATGAAAATCGATCATCCTGTTTCGATTATCACTAATGCTATAGTCATAGTTAACTTTAACTGTTTGATCTCAGTGAAAGTTGGTCATTCAAACTATTGATTTTAACTAGTCTTTTAAGTTTCTTTTAAATTTGAATATAAAATTTGAAATTTAAAATTTTGCTTCAAACAAAGAATTTAAAATTTATAAATTTTAATTATAAGATTTTAAATATAACATTTTAAATTCAAATTCTCAACTTAAATTCACCCATTCAAATACAAGCCAATAAAATTCCACGTTCAAGATAAGATCTAAATGGTGCAGAAGGACGCGAACTCTGGTCATGGCCGGTCTATATAAGGACCTGGGAAATGGCTATAGCTCCTCACACGCAGCCAGAAATTTGAAGGAAACACAAACATGTTGTCACTAATGGATCTCGTGAGAACTCTCTGTTCCAGAATTGTTCACCAGTTCATCCACAAAGACTTCCACGAAGCCGTTTCCAGGATGACCATCATCGATACCTTTCTGTTCCTCGTACGAGCCAGATAATAAATTTATATGTCTCATGCTCATGCTGTTGCTGATACGTATCTACACTATCGATCATTACTTATATGATTAATTCTGTTTGGGTATATATGGATGCAGATTGTGCACTCCATCGACAAGATGGGGATATGGCCACGCCTGCCAGTGTTCCTGGGCCTGTTTTACCTGGGAATAAGGAGGCATCTTCACCAACAATACAATCTGATCAACGTCGGGAGGACTCCAGTGGGCGTGAGGTTCAACCCCCTCGATGTCCCCTTCCGAACTGCCGACGGCAAGTTCAACGACCCCTTCAACGACGGAGCTGGAAGCCAAGGATCTTTCTTCGGCAGGAACGTCCTCCCTGTTGAGCAGAAAAACAAGGTCTCCTTCAACACTCTAATTAATTATGTCTCACCGATCATGACCTGTGAACGAATCATGACCGCCATTGTAATATTTGCAATAATAAGACATAAATATTAAAACGATACGCCAAGATGCTAGTTAAAAGCCAGGGCTCAAAGCTGTCCGGACTGTAGCGGCCACGTACATGAATGGATTGGGGCTTTTGAGAATTTGAGTTACTTAAGATTGTCGGTGAAAAGCGCAATAACAGTGTGCTTACTGCAGCTATTGAAGCCGGACCCCATGGTGGTGGCCACAAAACTTCTGGCACGCAGAACTCTGAAGGACACCGGGAAGCAGTTTAATGTGATCGCAGCTTCCTGGATTCAATTCATGATTCATGACTGGATCGATCACTTGGAGGAGACCAACCAGGTATTTAATTTCATCGTTAAATATACATGAAGTTGTTTAGAAATCGGCTCTCTCTCTTTCTCTCTCTCTGGTGTGATGAAGAATATAATTAAGAGAGGTGGTGGTTGCGAAAACGGTGATAGATGGAACTAAGTGCGCCGAGGGAAGTTGCAAGCCAGTGCCCACTCAAGTCTTTGAGATTTTACAAGACCAAGGAAGTCCCAACTGATTTCTACGACATCAAGACCGGTGCTGTAAACATTCGTACACCCTGGTGGTAAGAGTAAAGTATATGAATGTTAATACAATAAACATATGTGCTCCCCTCAATACCTGTTTTTTTAAATACTAGCATGATTAACTATTACAAGATCTGCATCTGCGCGCACGCGCATATCTTTATAATCTGATTTGTTGCTTCTTTTGGCATCAGTGCGAGTGGGCAAGTGGCCTGCTAAGAACGTGTGGCCATCATTAGTTTTTTTTTTTTTTTTGTTATTATTATTAATGTTTATATTACGCTTTGTTTTTAATTTTTTTAAAATAGACCACCTCCCCTTTTTTCTGTCAAGATAAAATATCATACTCTCTCATAATTACTATCTTTAGTATAAGATAAATTTTGAAGGCTATTTTTTTTTAACCCTTGATATATAAGGTAAAGTTAGAAAAGATAGTACTATTTTTTATAATTTTTCTTATTATTTATTTATTGTCATTTTAATTCTATAGAATAATTTATTACAACTATTAATTGCAAATAAGATTAAAATTAAAAAGTTACATATTTTTTATCATTTTAAAACATGACTACCAATTTTTTAATAAGCATGAAATTGGTTAAATTTAACTTATATTGATTAAGGACATTAAGGAATATCACATAAAATTAGTTGGAATAAGAAAGAAATTACAATAATTAGAGTTATTTGAAATTGAAATAATAAATAATTAAATGATAAATTTGCTCAAGGAGTTTTTCCCTCAAAATGATTGGTATCTTTGACTTTTGATTGGAACAATGTTACTTCAAAAGTTTAAAAAATAGTGCAAAATGATTGACCAATATTCAATGTTACCTGGAAATTATGATTGGACCTAAAAAGTAATTTTGCCTCAGATTTTTTTTTTGGAAAAATAACTAACATTCTAAACTTTATATTAGCATAATATTTTTTGGGTTATTATTGATGTTCAAATGATGAAGAAAAAATCTAGCAACTCATTATCATTATTAAAAATAGTCATATTTCTAAATTTTGATAAAAGATCTCACCGCAGATTGTTTTGACACAAAATCAACTCTCAAACATTACACATATTTTCTTTTGAAGTTTAAACTTTCCCTTTTTTTGCCCATGAGTGGCTCTTGATTTATATACTGACTTTTTCAAACATGCCTATAAGCAATATAGACTAGCTTGAACTCTAACCTAGAGGTGTTCTTTTATTTTTGAGTTATTAACAAGTTATGTTGAATATTTCTTTTCATTGTATCAATTAAAATTTTAGAATACCAACTACTTCTTATTCAAACAAATTTCACTGGCAAAATTTCCTTTTAACAATTAAAATAATGGTCAACCATTACTATAGGATAACATTGCATCAATTTTTAAATTTTTAAAGTAACATTGCTCTAGTTAAAAGTTAAGAATACTAGTTGTTTGGGTGAAAAACTTAAGAGGCAAATTTATATATCCTTTAAACCCAAATAATAAATGCGGATCTCTAGATTTGTGGGTATTAAATTATGATTTGTTGAGCGGTGGAAAACTGAAAATTAATTCGGGTTGATGAATGAATTTTAATGACAACATAACGACAGGTGATAATGGGAAAAAAACTGAAATAGATGAATTGACTTGATTTTTTAAATATTTTTACTTATTTTTTTATCTTTTATAAAATGTAAAATATTTTTAATTTCTTAAAAATATAAATTTCATGAAATTTATGAATTCTAATCGTGGAAGAGAGACCCTAACGTACATTTGAATGTGCTTTTTGGCAAAATGCGTTCAAATGTTACCACCACAGATCAAGTGCTTTCTTTATTTATCACAATAATATATATATATATATATATATATATTTGGTTCGCGTGGGGAGTAGTACTCCTCTTTCGTTAGAGTACATATTATTTACCCTTTCAACCAACGTTTTAAAAATCAATTTTTTGTCATAACTTTTATACTCTAACTGATTAGATCAATGGTTAAAATAATGATGTAATAATTAAATAACAATTAAATAAAAATAATATTAAAAAATCATCTTGTTATTAATGCTTGACTTTGTTTCTAACTTTAAATTTAAAAATGTCTTAAATATACATGAAATTTGTTTGTTCTTGCTCATGGAAATAATGTCTAGAATTTGCTTACAATAAATTTGATCCAGATTCAAAAAATGTTAAATATGCAAGAGATGAAAATGATGAATATTATATATGTGTATGCGAGTGAAGGGACGGAAGCGCCATATACGGGAGGAATGCAAAGGTGCTGGGGAGAGCGAGGACATACAAAGACGGGAAGCTAAAGGTATCCAGAGACGGGACCCTTCTCCACACCGACGACGGAATCGCCATCGCCGGTGACGTCCGTAACAGCTGGGCCGGCATCTCCACCCTGCAGTCCCTCTTCATTCAAGAGCACAATGCCGTCTGCGATGCTCTCAAGGCAAGCTCACCTTCAACTTCGTTCAATATTCCTTCATTCGTTCACACACACACACACCCCCACACACACACACACACATGAAGTTAAAGCAATCACGCGTAACGCTGATCATATTTATATATCCATTTAATCCAGAGGGGATACCCAGATTTGGAAGACGAGGATCTTTATCGCCATGCTAGGCTGGTAACTGCAGCTGTCATCGCCAAGATTCACACCATTGATTGGACCGTCGAACTCCTCAAAACTGACACCTTACTTGCCGGCATGAGGGCTAACTGGTATATACGATTAATGACAAATTGATTGTTTCACTGCATCTGTGTTTTCTAGTATATATAGACAATTGGATGACTAGTTGATAGGTGAAATATTGTCGTGATCACGCTCAGGTATGGATTACTGGGAAAGAAATTCAAGGACACGTTTGGGCACGTGGGAGGAGCTATCTTGGGAGGATTTGTGGGGATGAAGAAACCGGATAACCATGGGGTTCCGTACTCTCTCACCGAGGAATTTGTGAGCGTCTATAGGATGCACTCCCTGCTACCCGATACCCTCAAGCTCAGAGACATCTCCGCCGCTCCGGGACCCAACAAATCTCCCCCCTTGATTAAAGAGTGCGAGCCCACATATCCACCTTCTGCTACTGTACCAATTCATTAATAAGGGGATTATATTTCCAACTATAACATTAACTTTTGCTGGTGTACCATTCTGATAGGATTCCAATGCCGAATTTGATCGGCCTGCCAGGAGAGAAGACCTTAGGAGAGATAGGGGTTGCAAGGCAACTAGTATCCATGGGCCACCAAGCCTGTGGTGCTCTTGAGCTCTGGAATTATCCAGTCTGGACGAGAGACCTGGTAGCACAGAACATGGACGGCACCGAGAGGCCCGATCACGTGGACCTACCAGCTCTTGAAAGTAAACGCTTGCTCTGCCTCTGCTCATCAGTCTTAAACTTTCATCCCAAGATTTAATCGTAAACCACCCATTCATGTATTTGCAGTATACAGAGACAGAGAGAGGAATGTGGCGAGGTACAACCAGTTCCGGAGGGGGATGCTGTTGCTGCCAATCACAAAATGGGAGGACCTGACGGACGACAAGGAAGCGATAAAAGTATTGGAAGAGGTGTACGGGGACGACGTGGAGGAGCTGGATACACTGGTGGGTCTCATGGCAGAGAAGAAGATCAAGGGTTTTGCCATCAGCGAGACCGCCTTCATCATATTCCTGCTTATGGCATCCAGGTAACCAAGAGTCGATGCAATTATGACTATGGGGTTTCTGTGGGGTTGATATACAAGGGCTAATTATATGGGGTGGGGATATATATGATGAATGCAGGAGGTTGGAGGCAGACAGGTTCTTCACGAGCGACTTCAACGAGGAAACGTACACGAAGAAGGGGCTGGAATGGGTGAACACAACGGAGAGCCTGAAAGACGTGCTAGACCGTCACTACCCAGAAATGACGCATAAGTGGATGAACTCGTCGAGCGCTTTCTCGGTCTGGGATTCTCCTCCCAACAGTCATAATCCCATCCCCCTCTACCTGCGTGTTCCCCATTAAGTGCGTTTTGTTTGGGCCCTGTTACTGGATCCTTCGCTTGGTTCCCTTTGGGTTGGGTTGTGTTTAATAAAAGCCTGCTTGTACTTGAACTTCTGAATATATTTCTAATGTACTGTTTAGCTCCCATTGAAATGTGAATTTTATATTTGGAATACAGAGTTGCGTGGCCTCTAATCTAAGACCAGAATTAGTAAATGGTTAAACAGCCGTTAATTGTCCGAATGTACTAGCTTTGTCGCCACAAATAGGAGACACAGAACAGAGACGTGGCAGCTGATCCACTAAAATTTGAACTGCTGCAACTAGGCGCTCTTCCTCCATCAATCTGATTGATCCAGCAAACCAAAGTGTCAACTTTGATTTGATGTAAGTGGATGATCCGTCTGGTTCCTCTCAAAATCTCATCCTCCCGGCGTCCCTTAGCGGCGGGACAATCAATCCAGGCCTTTCAATTTATATTGAATATCTCATGCCTTGCCACATATTCCTATATTAAAATAATTTTTACACTTTATTTTACTACTTTATATGTATACACACACACACACATATATATATATATATATTATAGAATAATTCAAGCTAATTTTTTCATTATTTTTTATTTTCAAAATTTGTTTTAAGAAATTATTCTGCTTCAAAAATAATCTGTAGAGTAATTTTTTTAGAACAAGTTTTGAAAAAATCAGCTTAAATCATTATAAAAAATATATATACAAAGTAGTGAAATAAAGTACAAAAAATTATTTTAAAACTAAATTATTTTAGAATGAGATAATGTGATAAAATATGAGACGCTGAATATTAGATTGAAGGGCCTGGATTTTGTCCCCGCCCCGGGACGCTTGAGAGTGCGAGAATCCAATTCCTCGGATCACTCTCTCCAATTAATTGGAAGCCACCCAGAAACACAGTTGCTTTAATCGATTGTTTCAAACTATAAATTTCCAGATTATGTTATTGCTAGAGCAGTATGGAGGGCTGGGGCCTGGGGCTGCCGTCTCCAACTTTATACATGGCACCATGGTCGAAATTTGCTAAGTTGCTAGATAGAAAATGTACCAAATCAAATCATCACCATCCTTCCTCTTTTCCTTCGTCATCACTTGATGTCCTGAAAATAAATTGTTCACTGAAAGTTTTGTAAATTTAGCCCACATCATGAAACCAAATAAAAATAATAACTCAACTTTTCTTAAATTTAAATAATAGCCTTTTAATATTTATTTAAAATTTACTTGACAAAACTGCCATTTTAAAATTGTAATGCTCTGGTTTTTACAAATACCCAAAGACCTTAAATGTAAGAGAGCAGACGAATAAAGACTTAAATTGTTCGTAATTTTTTTTTATTTTATTAGTTTATGTATTTAATTCTTTGTGATAAATTAAGAGTTCAAAAATTTTTATGAACTATATTTGATTCATTTTGAGCAAACGATTATGTGATTTTTATGTTATTGATATGCGATACTATATCATTAATATTCCATTACATATCAATTATATGCTATCACATATTAACATATCCGGACAATCATACATGAACTTGTTTATCATTGATATATAGTTGTATATCAATGATATAGTATCATATATCAATAATATAAAAAATTCATAATCATTTGTTCAAAATGGATCAAACATCATTTGCCAAAAAAATTTAAACTCTTAGCTTATCACAGAAAATTAAATACCTAAATTGATAAAATAAAAAATCATAAACAATGAAAAAATGACCTGTGTTTTTTAGTAATAATTTAAACAAAATTTCATAATCAATGACAATAAATCACAGCTTATGAAGAAATGAACAGCTATTCGATAAAGATATTATCAAAAAAATATGAAGATGGTGAACAATAAATAGTAAATCGTGAACTACTGTTCAGCTTCAAGAAACTAGAATATGATGATCAATCTTGTAAGTATTGGATGATGCTGTTAAAAAATATTTGACAATGATCCTCATGGGGCAAGAAAGAGAAGGAAAGATTGTGAAAGGGGAGAAATAAAATGCACTACTAGAAAAATAAAATTAAACAAAAGAAATTTCTCACTAAATTCAATTTTCCCTCACTAAATTGTATTTTAGTGAGAGATTTTGTCTCTCATTAAATTCATAGCTAAAAAAAGCTTGCTAAATTTAATGAGGGATTGCAAGCGAGGGATTCAATTCCTCATTCACCTTACACCATGTCACTTTCTCTTTATCATGTCACATATTCATTATATTTATGCCAAAACTAATACTTGAACCTTTGACCTCTTATTTTTCAAACCTCATGCTCTTCTTTTTCGTCAATTGAATTGATAAGCATCTGTAGTCATTATATGAGAAATTAAATATATATTATTTAATTATATAAATATAACAAATAATATATTATAAAATACACATGCATATATATTAAATTTTATTTTTAATTATTAATATGTTAAAAATATTTATATTTTATTTAAATTATTCTTTATATTATATTTTAATAAAATTTTACTTTATTAATGAAAATCAACTTAAAAAAAGAAAATTTTAAATGTTAAATAATTTTATTATGAATATTTTAGTTAATCTTTAAATTAAATTTTTATTTTTAAATGAAAATAATTAAATATATAATTAAAAGTCATTGCTAAAATTTAATTTTTTTCTGATAATTAGTTAGGAATAGAATTTCTTACTAAATCCTTTGCTAATATCTTATTTTAAAGATAAATTGACAGTCCCTTACTATTTTCCTTATTAATCCTCTCATTTTAGAGAGAAACAGTTTTTCACTATTTTTTTTGCTAATTTGATATTTTAAAGAAAAATGAATGATCTCTTACTAAATTTTCTCGCTAATTTATATTTTTTTAGTAGTGATGGTTGTGTGTGTAGAGAATCGATTCAATTAGCTTATGGTTAAAAAAATTATCTGAACATTAAAATCATTTAGTTGTACAAGATATATTGCTGGCTAAGTTCATGCAAAAGTTTTTATTGCATGTTTTATATATTTGTTCTGTGAATAAAAGAAAAAATCACTTTCAATTGATTTTGTGAATGGATCATATTTTAAAATATTTAAAAACATCATCCACAATTTCTAGGAACTCTATTTTTCATAGGCATTAGGCTAATATTCTCTTGTTCATTTTGAATAATAATAATAATAACAAATAAATTTTTTTTTTTGCATGATAATGTCAGGTGTATATATATATAAAATAGAGTAAATTAGAGACTAATTTACCACAGTGAATCCATACGCTTGCACAGCGTGTGGTTTCTTACAATTTGTATATAAGCATATTGATTTCATTAAATTATAAACGATATTTTCGTACTTTTACATTACATTCATCTCAGATCTAAGTGACATTTTATCGACAATTTTAAATGTCGTTTATATATTTATATGGAATTAAAATATTTGATTGTCGTTTGTAATTTTAAATCATAACTCTATGTTAATGTTTAGTATTAATTGACTTATTTTTATTACTATGAATAATCAAATTATAACCCGTGGAATTTTGTTGAGAAAAAATTAACAAGTATAAATTTTAAACTGTTATAAATTAAATATAATTTGTGAAAACTAGAAAAACCAATTAAGTGCTTGTTTGAAAATTTATTTTGAGAACAGTTTTCTGTTCTCCAAAATAAAAGAATAAAAAAATTTGTTTGGTAACGTGTTTTTTAAAAGTATTTTAAAGAATAAAAAAATAAAATATTGTTCTAAAAAATAAAAAAAATAAAAACAATTTTTAGGTGTTTTATGATTATTGTTCTGAAGAACAAGTGAGAATGAAAAAAACACTTATTTTTATTATTTTTTTATTTTCATAACATATTTTATAAAATATTAATTTTAAAAATAATAAAATAAAAACAATTCCAAACAACTCTTAAGATTCGGATACTATTGGTGCCATGCAGGAGGGTGGCTTTTGTGGAGGGAAGATAGCATAAGAACTCATAGATATCTCCTAAATTCTTCAATTAAAAAAAACAAAACTCCTAAATTCTTCATTTTTCACGCAACCTCTCGGAGTAAACCCGCGGCCGCGGGGCAATATAGTGGCTATTTATCAAAAAATTGTTTCCAGGAAGTAGACTCTATCCCTGTTTTTTTGTTTTTTTGTTTTGGGACTCTTCATGCGTGTGATTTCATGGTAAATATAATGATATAAGCTCTATATATATATATATATATTAAAAAAAGTCAAGGGATGAAAAGTTTTTGTTTTACCAACAAAAAGATGAAAAGTTGAAACCTCAAAATGGAGTAATGAACAACAAAGATCTAAAGCAGCGATGAGGACACGCTCGCAGAGCATTGGCGTAGATATTCACCAAACCTTGGAATTGGATTCCGAGCAAAATCTGGTAGTGCTGTGTGAGACACCCAAGAGAATGCCATTTCTAAAAAGGGGTCTGGGCGAGAAAGAAGGACGCTCACGCGTTTAGGGTAATTATGATTTGATTGTGATTTGTGAATTCGATTTAGGGCCTGTTTGGTCATTAGGACCTTTGGAGTTTAATGCTGAGGAACGAGACTGGGGTGCCTCGACCGGGCGCAGCGAACACCTTCTTCCTCTTGTCTACTGCCAAACTCTGATCCCTTCTTGGCTTCCTCGCAGCAACGGGGTTTGCTTCCCTGAGCTTTTTCTGATTTCTCCTTCCTTTATTCCCTCTGTCTCTTTCTGATACAAACTTTAACCATCCCCTTCACGTGTAATTGTTCGTTTCACTTTGATTTCTCATCCCAATCTGACCCTTTTCAGCTTTCGTTTCTTTCTACTCCCCACTCCTCCCTTCTGTCTCTCTCTCCAATTATCCATTTCTTCCGGTTTTCTTTCATCCGCTTTGCGTCCCTCACTTTGTATTTCACTTGCGCGCTTTCTTTTCTTTCTCCATTGCGGCGGAATCTGGCTTTTCCCTTCTCTTTCTTCTGTGGGCGGGTCCGATTTCGTCACTTTTTTGCCTCCTGCTATTCTGAGATCTCAGTCTTGAAACTCGGGTTTCGCTGCTTTTCAGTTCTTCAAGTTCTCCATTCTACCTCAATTTTAAGGCAATGTCGCAAGGCTATGCTATTGAGCTTTACTTCGACCCTGCGCTTGAAAATCAGGTCTTGAAGGCCTGGAATGTCCTTGCTCGCCGACAAATCAGTACCCAACTCATCGAAATTGAGTCGCGCCCCCACATCACTCTTTTCTCAAGCCAATTTATTGATCCTATCAAGCTTGAATCCATTATCAAGAATTTCGCAGCCAAGCTTGAAACTCTGCCTCTATCTTTCTCTTCCATTGGGAGTCTGCCGAATGACAGTAATGTCCTTTTCCTTTCACCCACGCCCTCAGTCTCGCTACTTCAGTTCCAAGCGCAATTGTGTGATGCGCTGAAGAAAGAAGGCGTCGAGATAAGCGAGGAATATCGCCAGGATTATTGGATTCCTTATTGTTCGGTTGCGCAGGAAGTGCCAAAATCTAGGATGGCTGAGGCATTCTGTGTCTTGCGAGATTTAAAATTGCCAGTCAATGGGTATGCTACGGATATCGGACTGGTGGAGTTCTCGCCAGTTCGTGAACTCTGCTCATATGTGCTTGGCAATCCAGTAGAAACATAAGGTTATAGTATAATGTAGAATTTAGTTTTGTTTCCTAGAGGTGAGAGAAATGCTATTATTATCGTCTATTGTTAGCTTCGTTTTTCTCTCTCTTAGTTTGAGATTCTATTGTCTTTTGGTTTCAAGAATGTATTGGAGGGCTTCATTCTTCACAAAACTCTGTTGCTATAACGACTGCCAAGATGGCTGAAACTCGTAAATAATTTCTCGTGTCAATTTGGAATTTGCATAATATGATAGATGGCGATTAGTTTATATGATCAACTTCCTTTTATCCTTTAGCAAAGAAAGGTAGTCAGTTTTATCCAAATGACTTTATGTTCTGTTAACCCTTCTCTGGATATTTGCATAATTTGTTATAAAAGTTTGGAATTGCCTGCTGCCCCTTATATATGGATAAACTTATGGAAACTTTTGGATAATTTGTTCAATGCTTGAGCCCATAGGGAGCAATTATTTATGTTTAGCTTCAGGGGCCTTAGAAGGGAGTAAAGAGAGGAGCTTTGTGGGGCTGTGTTCTTCATCTTGCTGATTGGTGAGTTGGAGGGTCTTGTCTTTGGGAAAACCTGTCTCTACTAACATTATTATTCCTTGCTTCTCTTTGTATCAGCACATGGGGCTTATTTCAGTGTCTCCTCGTTGTACATGCAGTGGGGCTGGAAGTTGTGGTTGTTCTGACGTTTTATGTTTGCTTTCTGTGCTGTCTTACATCAATGTGGAGAAAATGTCAATGGCTTGTCCTCTGTATATGGCTGTTTGTGATAAAATTTCTTCTTGCCCCTAAATGTTACAGCGGATGACTGTGAAACATGTCAACGTTCCTATTAGGTCCTTGGGTCAACTAAACACGACAATCATGGTTTTCTGATTATTAATTTGTTGTTGCTATTGAAGCACTTCTTGTAGTTTTGAGAGTCACCTAATACTACTACTCTTTTTATGGTAACTTTGAAAACTGATGCAGTTCGTTTGATCTATGTTCTCCTTGTCTTGTCACGTGTGATATGCTTCGTGTTCTTTCATTGGACTCTTTGTCGACATTGTTTCTTTATTTGTCATTCATATTCCATTCTGTTTTGCCTTTTATCAGACACTGAGAGACAGTCCATTTGCTGTTCATTTCTGTTCCTCGCCCATGCATCAGCTGGCTATTCTGATTGTCTGACTCATCTTAATTCTGAAGCCCTTTTGCTTAATAATCTGATTTTGCTGAAATATGACAATTAGATCTTTCTAGGTTCTTTTTTTTATTATGGAAGGGTTTCTTATTACTTTGATAGTCTTATTATATCGATTGAGGCCATTGCAACATTGGTCTCTTAGGCAAATCTTTGTTACTGAATTTCTTAACATGTTTATCACCATGCAGCAGGAGAATAAATTCAGTTTGACAATCATATTTTCTATTGATTGAGGCAATTGCAAGCCGTGCTCTCTTAAGCCAAACCTTTGCCACTCAATTTCTTAACATGTTTGAGAACAAATTCAGACCTATGTTCTTCCTCCTTAGGAGACCCAACCTTTTGGGATTTGGGGAGTGGAATACAAGCCCTCAGTTTTTTTCATCTAGTTATGTGGGACTCTGCTGGATGGTTAAACAATTTAAGTCATTTCTGTCTATTAGGATCCGCCATCTATTGGTAGTGGGCATTGGGTAGTGGAACTAATTGCCTTGCTTGTTTGTTGACATACGTGCAGCTGAAGCTACCCTTGGGTGAAATTAGTGGCCAACATTTGTATAAAATAAAGGCGTGCTGGACTTGATGATCAATAGAAGTTTTAATGCATGATTGCCATGTTTGGTTGTTATGTTGACTGGCTGTTCAAGGCTCTTTTTGGTATAGGTGAGGAACCGATTGGCCCTTCAATTATTGAGCCAATCATCAACATCTTTTATATCCGTTAGTTCTCTGGTGATGCTTTCTTCCTCTCCGAACTTCTTACTGTAACTGGTTCCTGTCCTTCATGTTTTATGTCTAAATGGTTTCGGTTAGGAATAAGCATATGCATAACGAATTTCATGTGCTCATTGGAGGTGTTTCAATCATATCTGCTTCAGTGTAACTGCATAACGGTACAAGCATCATCCAACGGCTTGAACTGATTTTGAATTTTTGATAAATAGCTGATAACTTGATATCATGATACTAGGGTACCATAAAGATTAATGATAACAAAAAGAACTTTATTCTGGTAATGGCTCAAATAAACACAAATGCAGCTTGATTCATCGCTGCGTTTTGGAATTTCGTTTGTTATAATAATTTTATTTAAAAAGCTATTGCGTAGAGGAGAGTAGAATGTGCAACTTCTTAATGTGCCAAGAGACCTCAATGAGCCAGGTGATGAGGTTGCGAACCTTGTTCCCTCCCTCCCTCCCTCCCTCCCGGTGAAAATGGAATATCATTAATCGAAAGTGCAATATACAACCAGGCAAACATAACAGGCCTTAGGAAAGAAATAAGCTTTACAAGAAGACAAAACAAATTATATAAGTAACTTGAAGGTAGAGAAAGTTTTAATAGTGTGGTTCACGAGAGCTCTAACGTGGCATAAAATGCCATCAGCTGTAGAAGTTTCGCCAGCAAAGATGATGTGATTTCGAGTTTCCAACCGAGTATGCTCGCACCAATTGTCCAGGAGATATCAATGCGGGGATTCTGCAGCACCTATAATAGCCAAGACCTTGTGGCCCTGTTTGGCATGCAGGCTTTGCTTGAGAGGAATTGAGATTCAAATTAAAAGTGATAGTGAAAATAAGCCTTTAAAATTATATTTGGTATGAAGTAATATTTATAAAAAATAATTATTTTTATTTTATTTTAAAATTAAACATAAATTGTGAAAAAACTATAATATCCCCTAAAACAAAAAAAAAAAATGTAACTCTCCTTCTCCCCCAAACAATGATTGCGATAGGGCAACTCATTCCACCGCCCATCTGCATCGTCTTCTTCCTCTTCTTTCTTCTTCATGTGGCTCTTTCGCTTATGTTCGTACCCACATCAAAGTCTTCTATGGAGAGAGGCTCATTTGCCATCTTCATTGCTATGCCTTCCAACTATAAATGACAAAGGAACGATGATGAAAAACAATGATGATGATGAAGAACCTAGAAGCAAACTATGGGGACACTGGTGGCTCGTTGCTCAACTTTGCTCGTCATCGTTCGATTTTGGGTACACTTTTGCTTGTTGCTCGATTTTGTTCAATCTTGATTTAGATTTGTTCGTCATCATCCAATTCCAAGTTAGCTTCTGCTCATCGCTCAATTCTGTTTGATTTCAATCTAGATCTGCTCATCACTCACCTTCATCGTCTGCTTCTGTTTGTCGACATTCGAATGCGCATGAGCACCGTGGAGAAGAGAGGGTGGAAGGGCATTTTCATCCTCAAAAAGGCAATCCCAATATTGATTTTGCAATACTAGAGAGTGGTGGTATTGGGTCATCCTATGTAAGGTGGTACTGAGACTAAATATTCATTCCAACGTGGAAAAGTTGGGATTACTCAATCCCAATGCCAATCCCTCCTCTCCAGTCCCACTTACCGAACAGGGCTTATATTCTTCCCATAAAATTTAGTATGCATACCCGGTGTTAAAATCTTTCACCAAACATCAGCAGTTTAGTTGCATTCCTTAAAAACATGATTAATGTTTTCTATGGGGGCATTACAAATTGAACACCCTTGATCCTGGGTCATCTTCCTGTGATTACGGCTGCAAACCTTGTTCTTAATGGTTGCTTTGGATTATGATATCTTCGATCTGATGCAGCCATGCAATCGTAACTTTTCTGGAAACACGCTATTGCATGTATTGTGCTGATCGTAATGGAAGATGTTGCAATCATGTGAACAGTAAACCATGTTTAGATTGAATGCAAGTCATGGTTGAGCTGAACCTTGTATAACGCAGTTTATATAGATGTCCGATAAACCATATATATATATATATATATAGGGCTAAACGGCCCTAACTTGAAAGCAATATTTTTGGGCCAGAACATCAAAAGACAAAAGCAAATTACTATAGATAGCTAGGTGGGGGGAAACACCCAAGCTTTTCTAAGTTAATATTTCAAATAAGCACAAAATTCAAATGGTTATTGCATATGCTCTAGAACACCCATCAAAACCTTGTGTTATTGAGTGAATTGTGAGTGTTAAATTGACATGAAGAATGGTAAGGTGTTATGGAGCAAAACAGAAATTTTTTCATTTTTCGACCAACAAGATGAAGTATATGTCAAACTAAAGGTACTAGCCATTTTCTGCATCCCCTAAATATATTTCGAAACACCCGCCCACAATCAAACGAGTAAAGATCTGGTTTCAGCGTTGAAAAGCTAAAACAAGAACGCATTATTTGAGAGGAAGATGGCCTGCGAAACCAATCTACGTTATATAATAATAAATGAACATTTAGATGAAATGAGAAATTAGAATTATATAGTGAACCACTATAAGAATATTATTATATTCTAGCATACAATATTTAATGAGTGTCGAGTGCTGAAAAATATGTTATGATCCTCTAGAGTATGAGATGTCATGATGCTTCTTAATATACAAGTGGAATATGCATATAGCCGGATGCCTCAACTTGAGGAAGAGCAAAGGAAGCTACTCAGAAAAATCTGATACAGAACTCCATAGTGATGACAGGTCAGGACCAAGCTTCCCTCGTGAGAAGTGCGAGCAAGAACTCATTCCAAGCATCAATGGGACCAGGCATACACCAGTGTGTACAGTCACTGTAACCTTTCATCCACTTGTTTCCCCAGTACTCCCCGGGATGCCCATCTGCTCTCATCAGCATCGCCCTCGTCACGTCCACCACCCCAATTCTATGCCCTTCTTCTTTCCTCGCTCTTTCCACCTCCTCTATCTGCACATTCCTCACTTTCCACTCTACGCTCTCCAAGTCAGCCTCTTCCTCACTCATCGGGCTCGTCCTGTTGCAGTACCCTCCGGTGTTCCATGTTCCGTTCTCGAAGTGAGATGGCGCGAATGTTCTCACTAACAGTGTCACTCTTCTCTTGCTGTTGCTCATGTATCTGAATGCAGAACGAAAGGCCATTCTTATGGGGAAATCGATGTCGTAGTGCGTGATATTTGGTTCGTGGCAGTATACGCATCCTTTTAGTTTGTTTGCTTCATGAAGGTACAGCACCCTGAAAAACCAATGCCCGTCTGAGATTATTGCGTAATCCAGGTCGGAAAACTCTGTGGCCCAATCATCGTCCACCTTGTCCAGCTGCATGTCAAAAATGCTGGACCCTGTGCCGTTTGTGATTCTTTCCTCTCCTACTATCAGAAATCTGCTCCACAGGGACATGAGAGTGAAGTTGTGCTCTGCGAAATACCATTTTCGGAACCGATCTTCGGGGTCTTCATATATATCCTTTGGGATTTCTTCCTGTAAAATTATAGAAGCCATGTCAATGCTTGTCTAAGTTCTGGCTTAGTTGGAGCTTCTGAGTTATTTTCGCTTTGCCTGAATACCCACGCTAGGCCATGGCAATGTCCAATGCATTACGTACTGGTAATCGCATACCCTTTTAATCCAAGCAAAGAATTTCTGGTTTAATAGAGGATATACTTGGCGTGTCCGTTGTGTAGTAAAATTATGATATTGGAAAATTCCAAATTCACTAGAAACAAAAACTGTGTTCATCTGGTAAGACAATTATGCTTGGGAATTTAAGTGGTTTGGGGCAAAATGCAGGGGAAGTTCATGTGCTAGTGATAATTGCAACACTGACCTGTGATAGAAGGCAGAGGAGGGACTCCATGTGGTTCCTAGACACAGAGTCTCCGATGAACGCCATTTTCTTCCCTCGAACCATGTCAAGGAATGTTTTGGGGTCAAACCTCGGAAGTTCGCATTCCTCTGGCTTCCACTTCCAGTTGAGAAAATCGCTATCTTTCCTGCCCTGTTTCAGACAGTTTTTCGTATCTGGGATTGTCCTACAGCTAGAACTTGTGTAGTACGATCCTCTTGGAGCTGCAACCCACCGACCCTTAAACAGGTCACACGATTTCTGCTCTGCAAGATCCAAAACCCAAATTGTGTTCACTCAACCGAGAGCCAAGCAAGAGGACGATGAACGAAACAGATTGAAACTTACCGTTTTGTGATTTGGACTTAAAGTTTGCACTACCAAGCTCTTGTTGCTCTGGGAAGTGTTTTTCAACTGCGTCAGAGCCTCGAGTGGACATTATGGCAGACAGAGGGTAAGGGGAACGGAGAAGGAAGACACCGAAAATGGAGGATATGAACAGAGACGTCAAAACAAAAGGCACCATATTTCCCGTGTTGAGGCATCTCTCGTTTCTGCTATAGCCATCAATTCTGTCCTGAAAAGGCACACTCCAAGACTTCATAGTCCTCTCCGACATCTACAGACGGCCAGAGAAGAGGGGCTTAAAGAGAGAGAACCATGAGAATCCAAATAATTTTTGTTTCTGTAACTTATATATTAACCTAACTAAAAAGTATGTTGCTTGTTGACTTAAAAAATATTCACATTCTTTAAGGGTAAAAACAAGTGCTTTATCTCTGTCCAAAATGAACCGTGGGAGGTTGACACATGGCAAAGCGAAATTCAACCGTGCATGTGAGCTTGGTAAGGCTGTGGACCATCCCCAAACTCCCTGAATTCTCGGGGACAAAGGACGATGTAATGTGATGCTGATGGGGAAGGGATTTTTTTAAAGTCCATGCACTTCATAAATTCGATTTCACACCAACGTATGCTTTATGACTTGCCCCACACCAAGGGCGGAGGGCAAGACAAAAAGCAGTCTTCAACTCGCCTTTTAAAGCGCTTTCGACAAGACTCAGACTAAAGATTGTGGCAAAGTTGACGAAGCAGCTGCTTCAAATATGCCTCCGTTGCCATTTACGCCTTTCTTCTCTGTTTGAAAACGTAAATTATGGCACCTTGTCACAAAAGAATAAGATACTTTTTTGATGATGCTCATGATATGAAATTAGATCTTGGATGAGTGATGCGACTTCAATCCATAACGACGGAGGATAACACGTGCATGTCACGGACGAATCATTCTTCCACAACCACCATATGTACATGTACAGACAAAGTGATTGTAGGCCATGGCCCATGGGGAACATATTTCCCTCCATTTTTCATCGATCTTCCATAAAAGGAGTGTCCCTAATTGAGTGCACTCAGCATTTTCAATTGTGTAATGGACCTCATTGCCGACAATTTTCAGAAGCAGAATCCAAGTTTGTGACCGCACAGTTAATGAAGTCTCGAGTCAAAAGAAACATCCAATCACGCTGTACTTGCTTGGATGGTTTAGGTGAGTTCAGTGCAACATTTTTCTTTCCAACCAACTCATCTCATGAATCAACACAATATCACCTACCTGAACGAACAACGAATCTCCAAAACAACTGCGAAACTGTTGCAGAAGGGTGAGGGTGAATAACTTGGGCAATTTATCTGACAATTGGAGTTTAAGTCAGATCACCTTAGGAAAATGAAATAAACACAGGTGAGCCATCCCCAATAATGCAGACATTCCCAGGGAAGCTGCATTATATGCAACAATAGTTCAAACTTCATCGGAAGAAGCTCCCTTCACTGCATTACGTACACCTTCTGCCATCTGAAACAACCTCATCTGTTCCTCCCTCAAGGATTGAGAACTGGGGACCGGAGCTAGGCAGCCTATGGTCATATTCCTGTTCTGATGAATCAGCATTACCAGCACCAGAGTTAGGATTTAGACTTTGACCTCTCATTTTCTAATTTCGGATACCAGTACTGTACCTGAATGCCGAAACACCCTCAACAATGGCAAAAATAATCTCATACACTTATTTAATAACAAAAAAAATAATATGATGTTTATAACTTAGCATCCAATGATTGGATTTTCTTTAAAAATTCAAATATATTATCATTTTGTGAGAATTTGAGACTTGCACGCAGACATTTCACGTTATATGAGGATGGTAATATTATATAGAATTTTGTGAACTTCTCATTTTCTACAGGGTTTGGTTCAGGGTAGAGCCTTGGTGGCCCCTTGTGAACAAGGATGGGAATTTACTGACAGGGCTTCAGAACATCAACCTGTTCTTCCACTTCGAGGCTGACCAAAAAGCTAATGGTCGCCTGCTGTTCGAGAATACCATGTCAATGACAAAGTTCGACCTTCAGGTTTCTGGACTGTTTCCGCTGGGAAGTGCTCATGAGTGGGTTGTGACAAATAAGACATGGAGATCCTCGGAGTCAGATTTAGTAGCATTGGCTGAGAGAATCAAAGTGTTCAAATGAAGATAAGATTTTGAGGAGGCACTCAGAATCAGGGTTAGAAACATTGAGCAAGATTAAGGAAGCAGAAGTGCCCCCAAAAAAGAAGAGGAACAGGATATATGTACAGGAAGGAGCTTGCACTTGCTTTTCTACTGCTCACAGCATCTGCTAGGAGTCTTTTATCACAACGTGGAGTTCATTTCTATTTTTTGCCGCTCCAAGGATTGTCATTTCTTGCAGTTGGCCTAGATGGGATTTCTCTTTTTTTTTTTTTTTTTGGGTTTTAAACAGACACTTGATTTTAAACGCAAATTTTTCAGATGAGAGAAGTAATTGTATAATAGCAGATTAATTGCTGAAATTATAAAATATTCTCCTCTTTTAATTTGATTTTTTTAAATATAATACTCAAAATTTGATTCTTTTTTATTTTTAAAAATAATGTTTTTTGTTAAAAGTAAAGGAATTTATGTAGTAATTAAGCAATTAAAATGGTGTTTTCTTGGAAATTTGACTGCTTTGGCAAGTTTTATCCGAGAATGAAATCATTGTTTTATGGCCACTAACCCACGCCAAAGTGACTTACACTTCAAGCAAAGAAAATGCGGCGGCAAAAATGTTAAGGAGGTGGAAAAGTTTTTCTTTTCTTTTCTTTTTTTTTCTTTTTTTTTTTTTAAGAAAGAGGTGGAAAAGTTGGCTATATGAAAGGCCCTTCCGTTTTCCTTTTGGTCTAAGATTGAGGCAAGAAGGCCCACATGAAACGGCCCTTTTTGATTGAGGGAATTAAATTACTTCATTTTTGGAAGTCCAGTTTGAGGTGGTGAGGTACATTTGAAGTGTCTAGATAATATTTCTGTTACTTTTTCGGCCAACAATATTTCTGTTACAGGCACCTGATAAACACTAAATTTTAAATCTAAATCTAATAATTTGGATCAAACTTGATGAGTCAACTGATAAACTGAATAAGCTTGAAAAATTTTAAGATTATATTTGAGAGTTTATCAATTTTCCTTATTTCAAATTTATTCAAGCCATTCAAATATTTTAAAAAAAATTCAAGCCAAGATTGAACTTGAACAAGTTTGGTTGGAATATTTTTTTTAATTTTTTTTGGTTAACAAAATGAAATTAACACTCACGTTCGTTTTCATTTTCATTCTCACAAATCCTTTCACAAACTTAAATGTTTAAAGGATACAAGTAGAGTTAAGAATAAGGATTGGGCTTGAAGGGCTGATCTTGAAAGACCTATTTAAATAAGAATTCAGACTTTAAAAATAATTTTTTTAAAATAATCAAGCTTGAGGGCTTAGCTCTGATAAACTTTGTAAAAAAGGGCTCAGGCTCGAGCGGCCCTTCAAACCCCATTATATTATTATTATTATTTTCTTTGGTGAAACATGTGTTTGAAGCCCATGATCTGCTCACCTGATCCTACATGCATTATATTATTATTAATTTTAATTTATTCTAAAATTAATTTAACATAATTTAATAAATATCGGTGAATAGTATAAAATTTATGATATTTTTTATTTTTCTATAATTATTATGTTTGTGTATTTATAAAAAATAAACTATTTTTTAATTAAGATTTAAATTTTATTACTAAACTTCTAAATATGTGTTGTTTAATTTTTAAAAAATTATAAGAATTTTGTTTTTTTATTTGAAAATATTTTAATTAATTTATAATATTTAATTTTATTTTAATTTTTTTTAAAAAGGCTTGTAGGCCCGACCCTATACCTTTCACATAAAGGCTGGGTTTAAAAAATAAAATTTAAAATAAAGAATCAGACTTTAAAATTCAAGCCCTTACTTAAGTTCACAAGGCTCGGGTTACCCATATTTTTAAATTTAGATACAAGCTGTTGAAATAAGCCCGTGCTCTTATTCCTTTTTCTTTCACAAATTCTTTTTGGGAAAGCATGAGCTTATCGCCTGATTAGAGTCGCTTACAATCATCACAGTTCTTACAGGACGGAGTAGATTTACGCTGTTAAATGTATCTGGTGAGTGAGCGGCCAGCCAAGTCCTATGGTTTTGTTGTGCAACAGGATATAAGCCGGAAGTGATTGCATTTCAATTGCATCTTTGATCAGTGATATGGTAATATCCGCATCTCACCGGTATTGGATCAACCTTCATGCTCACTTGAGAATCCATCTTTGATCTGTGAATTTTGTTTATACCAGCATCTATAACCGGAGATTTTCACTTATTTTTACCTCAAACTCCATCCATGTAACATTTATAATGTACGTGCTATTATGGTTGCCAAGTAGACGATAGAAATAAAATCTAACACATGGGACCACACATGCATATATTAGAAATGTGTGACTATTATTTAATCACGTCTAAATAAAGTGATATACTTAGATTAAAGTTTTAAAACTTAAAGGTATAATTATAATGGGATAAATGTGTAGAGATTAAAGTGATATTTATGATTTGTTTAGGAGCAAAATCATAAATATCACAACCCTATTAACCCTATAAATAGAGGTTGTGATTGTTGGTTTGGTTGGTTAGAGTGGACATTCTCTAACTTTTTTTTTAAAAACATATAAAGTTTTTACTCGTGACAAATTCAAAAAACACACCCTTTTCAATTATATAATCAAATATAGAAACATGGTGATGGATTCAAGTATGCTTGTACGTTTTATCTCTATTTTTGAGTTTTGATATAAGAATGATTTTATATGTTTATATTAGAGTCGGTAATTCGGGCAAGGTGAGCTTATTTTAATCAAGTTTAAAATATCTTATTTTTTTAAAAAAGTTCATATAATCAAGCTTAGTCCTAATTATTTTTAATTGGGTTCGGACAGGCCCATTAGACTTCACTAAAATTACTAACTCTATATTCATGTAGAGTTGAAAATTCTAGCAGTCGAGCTTATTCAAACTGTATTTAATTTTGATTGAGCTTATTCAAATTGAATTTAAAATATCACACTTTTTTAAAAAAATTTATATAATTAAATTCATTCTTAACTTTTTTTTGAATGAATTCAAGTTTGATCAGAATTATCAATTAGTTTATATAGATTTCATTCTGTCTTTGTATTCTTCTATTAATTTTATCAAATCTATCAAAAGATTGTATAATAACACATAGACTTCCAGCTACTCAGCGACCCTATAGCTTAATCAATTGCAATAATGCTTTTCCAATAATTCTGGCGATAGATGCTCATATTTTTTTTTTTTAAAAAAAGGGTTAGGTTATGAGTAGATCAGATTATTATATCCGGCCATCTTCTGATATGCCTTGCTCCAACATTTTTTTCCCTACAACAATTGTCCCCCGACATGTTTTATCAATATTCCCTCTAAAAAAAAAAAAAGGATATAAACTTTCTCCCCCTATGTTCAGTTTTTAAACGTTAT